TTATAATGATATATTTTTATTTTTCATAATAATCTACAAATTTTAAGAGGTAGACAGACATTTTTCAACATGCACAAACTTTATCAAAATCTGGGCCACTAAGCCCATCCCAAGGCATAGCCCATCTCTTAAGTAATTAATGTGTCGAATTTTTTCTATTGCACCACACCTCGTGGGTAACTCAACCTTGCTGGTGCCTTAATTTACACAACTAAAATTTTGATGGGGGCCAAGATTATATTAGAGGTTTTAAAGTCGAACTGCTATAATAACTAAACATAATAATTAATACCTCAAAAATAAGATAAAAAAAAAAGTAACATGTTATATTTCATTTGATGGCAGAGAAAATTACAGACGGAAGCAATGGAGGTGTAGCAGATGAGTTCTATTATTTATTGAAGGTTTTGTGAATAATTCTTTAATTAGTCTTCTCTTTCTATTCATTTTTAAAATTAATTACAGCATGCTGAAGAATTAATTTAACAGAAAACATTGTTCGTATGAAATAAGTTAGTTTGGACTTTTTCAGATTCTCCATCTCTTGTCTTAGAATTTTACCTCGTAAGATTGCATCTCAAACCCAACAATTTTATGAAAATATTTTGGTGAAATTAACAACTTTAGGATAGTTTCGTTAGCAAAAAATAGATTTTTAGAAAAGTATACTTTTTATTTTTTGATATTTGGCATATTGAAGAAAATATGATAATGGAAAAATATTTCTGTTCAACGAAAAATGAATAAAAGAAAAGCTTGGACTCCAAGTTACTCTAAAGCTGCTACAGATCTTGTGTAACGCTTTGAGCTACCCCAACTGTTGTTCACATATGCGAGCCACCCCTAATTAACATTGGTTCATGCTATTAGTAACCCCCGCCCTCGGGTCATGCCAAGGGACTTCATTTGAGCCACCCTCGTTTCCAGTCATGCCATAAGCCACCCTTGAGCTGCTTCTATTCTAAGTCACGCCTCCAGCTGCCATGGAGTGAGGGTCGCTCAGCAAGTCGTTCTCGAGTCCATGGGAAGAGCCAGAGGGGCCGTGAGGGGGCACAAGCGCCCCTAAACTTTTTTTGAAAGATTAATTTGGTCTACTAAGTTGTTATTATTATTATTAATTTCATCCTTAATTATTTCATACCATTTTAGTTATTTTTTAGGTTTTTTATTATTTAAAATTACATTCGGTGATGATGAGGGTGGGGAAGAAAAATAAAGATTAATTGAGTGGATAATAATCAATATCATTCTTTCACAAAATGTTTGCTTACTAATTTTTTTTTTCTTTTTTTCTTTTTTTGTTCATTAGTACTCTTCTACTAAATACAATTTATGTTCATTTTGTCCTTCAATTGATGACATTTATACTACGTTAACAAGAACTATTAGTTTGTCCTTTAATATCATCATTTTTATTTTTTTTTTCTTTTATTGACTTTTAATTGATATAGAAATGCATCATTTTAGGTCAAGATTTCATTTTAACCGTCAAAAATCCTTCTCACCGTTGTCTGAGTGACGGGGTTTAGGACAACATTGAGACAAGCCCTGGGGTCTAGGTGGCTTATAGCGTGACATAAGCTTTGTGATATCTCGAGCATAATCTGAGGTATGTGGCTGCTCAAGGCTTGACCAAGGTTCGGGCAACTCAAGTCATGACTTAAGGTTGGAGGTGTCTCGAGCCTTAACTTGGACTCCAAGGCAACTTAGGCTGACTTGAGGTTCGAGGGCTCGAGGTGTGACTCAAGGTTTGGGACAAGTTATAACTTTGGTTGATTAGGGATCCAAAATAGTTTTAGTTGTGACTTGAAGAAGTATGAAGCAGCTTTAAACATCATCCAAATTTTAGGTAACTACAAATGTGGTCGCTCTAGGGTGGCTCAAAGAGTACTCAGGTTCTAAGGTGGCTTGTGTGTGACCCATGATTTGAAGCAGCTTTAAGACATAACCCAAAAGTGAACCAAACAATGACAAATATTTAGCATATAAAATTTTCAAAATATGTCAATCAACATAATATTTTTTAAAAAATTTTTAAAATTGACTTTCCACAAACCATACCCACGCTTAATGTTGTTTCTTTAATTTATTGGTGTGGACTTGAAGCTAACTTGCCATCTTTTTGCAACTTCAATAGTGGGTAAAATCAGCAGCTGGATAAATCAAAAAGGAATCAATTTCTACAATCATCTCATTGACTTGCTCTTATCAAATGGTTAAACTTCATTCTCTTTTCCATTAATTCTTATATATATTTCAATTACCAAATTTACTAGTTAACTTCTGCTAATTTTTTTAATTTTTTGCACTATTCCAATTTTCAAACAGGAATACAACCCTTTGTTACTTTGTTCCACTGGGATCTTCCACAAGCACTCGAGGATGAGTATGGGGGATTCCTCAGCCCGAAAATTGTGTAAGTTAATATCACACTAATCTTTTTCTTTTTTTTTTTAATTCATTAAGCAACTCTTTGCTTTTCTGTCATTCACTCATCCAAATATTGTATGATTGGTGTAAAAACTTTTTACTTTTATTGAAAAGATATTAATACTAAGTCATTTAAGTCATTAATGGTAAATATTACACTAGTAAATTATAAATTAATTTAGGTGTCTGTATCATTAATTAATTGGACTTATAAATTAATCATTGATAATCTCAAATAAATTTTTTTATTAGGGACGACTTTCGGGATTATGCCAACCTCGGCTTCCAAGAATTTGGCGATCGAGTGAAACAATGGGCGACCCTAAATGATCCAAATTTATTTTCCGAGGCAGGTTATGCAACGGGCGAAGGTGCACCGGGTAGATGTTCTATCTATATGGGAAATTGCTCAGAGGGAAATTCAGCAACTGAGCCTTATGATAGTGATGCATCACTCCATTCTTTCTCATGCAACCGCTGTACAATTGTATAAAGAAAAATATCAGGTTAGTAGATACTTTTCTACTAGTAATTCTTACAAATATAGGCATACTAATTTCAATTTCATTTTACTCAGGCCTTGCAGTATGGAACAATTGGGGTTACAGACTTACAGTGAATTGTAATTGGTATGTGCCAAAATTTGATACAATTGCAAGTAAGAGAGCTGCCCAAAGGGCTCGTGATTTTGACTGGGGATGGTACGTAAAGAAACATTTGCATAATAATTGATACAATTGCCATAGAAATATTATGCAAATGTTTCTTACCACTTTCCAAAATCTTACCACTTTGTTGGTAGAAAGATGTCAAGGGTTAAGAAACTTATTTTCATATGCAACAGCCCAAAGTCTGGTGCAACTCCAAAGAATCACTGTAGAAAATTGCCACTCTCTGACAGAAATAGTTGGAGGTGAAGGAGATGGATTATATTTAGAAGATGTGATTGTTTTCAGCAAATTAAAAGTTTTGAAACTCAAGTGCTTAACAAGACTTGCAAGCTTCTGTTCTGCAAATTTCACATTCAAGTTCCCATTGTTGGAAGAAGTAATGGTGGCTCAATGTGCCAACTTTGAGACCTTCTGTCACGGAGTCGTGAGGACTCCCAGCCTGCAGAGAATACAATTAACACAAGAAGATGATGTAGGGCGTCCAGCGGTTGAGCTGAATGACACCATAAATCAATCGTACAAAGAAAAGGTATGAATTGAGCCATAAATTTCCCCTATTTGTTATTGCAATTTTTGCAGTTATTCTATTCATCAAATGCAAGGAGTAAGCTATTGCTTCTTCTTCTTCTTTTTTTCATTTTTTTTTTCTATTAATTTACTTGGATATATTCTTATGTTAATAACTAAAGTATGTACTTGGCAGGTTGGTTTCTCTGGGTTACAATATTTGAAGCTCTCCGACTTTATTTCCTCAGTTGGTGGAAATATGGAACAAGAATCCTCAAGAGATCTTGGATTTCAAACAGCCTTGTGTCCTTGAAATTTGTAATCGTAGTGATTTGAAATATCTCTTAACACCTTCCATGGCCTTGAGCCTCGTTTCCCTCACAGAGATGAAAGTAAAAAACAGTGAAATGATGGAGCAAATCATCACAGAGGAGGAAGCTACGGAGGCAAATGAAAAAGGGATAATATTCCCACTGATAGAAACCATTAACTTGAAGTCTTGTCCCAACTTGACAAGTTTCTGTGTGGGAAATTATAAACTTGAGTGTCCATCATTGTCAAGGATGAAATTACTTAACGGTCCAAAAAGATGGTTATATTTGCCTCAACATTTTCAAAGGTGCAAGTGAAAGGAGCAGCAGAAGGAGGAAGTGCAGAAAGGATTGGAAAGGAGGCCATTGATATCCCTATTGCACCCTTTTTCAGTGACCAGGTCTGTTTCTTCACCTAGAATTGTTGGTTTCACATTTTCTCGACTTTTGATCCACTTGTGCAGCCTAGATTATATTATTCTACTTCTACTATGTGCATAAATATTCTTATGGTTAACCAAACACATCTATGCAGTATTCATTTATGACATGACTAAAACTAATAAGTGAATGCTAATATTCCATTTATGACATGACAAATTATTAGTTTTTAGTAGTTATAAAGTTTATTAAAACTAATTAAAATTGAAAACTAAATATCATGACCATACTAAACAAAAGCTAAATTATCCAATGGATTCTAACTCTTAGCCCATCGGTGCATTGACCAAAGGCAAGTCCTATTCTAGGATAGTTCTTTTGCATAAAATAGAACGCTTGTATCCCAAGCAAAAATGACACCTTAGTGGTCTCGGCATGGTTGAGATGGATAATAATTATAACAAATTCATTTGGAAATATAATTTTGCTAACTTAACATAAATTATTTCTTATACGTTGTACTATCTTTACCCAATAAATTACATATGGTATAAAAGATTAATTTAAAATTATAATTTTGTATTAATACTATTTTATTTAATAATTAAGAGAAAGGGTCGTACATATGAATGATGCAAAACGTGACTTAAGACTTAGTTATGTTACAATTATGTGTGTTTACATACATATATATACATATTAGAATAGCACAGGGGATAGTCAACAAGTTAAATAGTTCAGTGGTAATCTTCTTTTCAAAAAAAAAAAGAGATCATAAGTTCAAATGGTATGATATGCAAGTAGGGTAGAGTTGTGGGATAAAAAAAAGGTGCTTCTTATTGTACAATTCAAGAAAAAAAAAGAAGGAAAATGATATACGTACCCTCCCTTGTTACACATCTCATCACACACTAACGGTGTCCGTTAAGCATATTCACGATCTCCGTTACGGTTATGCACCCAGCAGCTGAACTTCTCCATCTTCTTCGACTCTAGATTTTTTGGGTAATCAAGGAAGAACCCAAACTAATTTGATCAAACATAAAAAAAAAAAAGGAGAAATTTCAAGAAAACTTAATTTGATTACCGTAAACTATAATACCTCACTGGCTTGCCGTCAAGCCCTCTCAATCTCCTGATCTAGGTTCTCAATGGGGAACCATGACATGAGAATAGATCGGTGAAGATGATGGTATAAAACTAGAATCTCGAGATGAAGAGATGAAACCGAAATCTACAAATTTGGTTCTGAAGCCTCGTATGTGTGTTCCCCTATTTTGAAAGGTTCAAGAAAGGAAGAGGCCTTTGGGGGAAGATGAAGGTTGGGGAAGAAAGCCAATAAAAGTTTGCAGGGGAGAAGAAAAATGCTCCTAATTAAACGCTTAATTACCTATTCCAACCATTTAAATTTGTCCTTGTTCTTATAATCTCAACAATGAAATTCATCTCCTCTGTTGGGACTTAAATCCATCCCTTTCTACCATTTTGTTTTACCGTTAATTCTCTCCCTCAAAACCCAGATTTGAAAATCCCCAAAACTAGAATACCCACAAAACCCAAGAGGCCCCAACCTTAACTTTTCTGACATGGGTGAGGACGGAATGAAGGTGAAAACAAGGTTGGTGGCAGATCTTGGTGTGGTATTTTTGGAGAAAATGGAGGTTGGTGCCATTTTGGAGAAAATGGAGGTCGATGCAATTTTGATCTTGGGTTCCAGGCCATAGCCACCTACTAGGAATTTCAAAGGAGAGCAAATGAGCTAAAGAAGAAAGGAAGGGAGAAAGAGAAAGAAAGGCTGACTAACAGAGACCATCAGTTTGCATAATAGAAACTGTTAATGGTGTAATAAAGTGTGTAACGGGAGAGTGTGTTTGTATCATTGTTCAAAAAAAAAAAAAATAGTACATAGAGTCCCAATTTAAACTAGTGTTTCTGGGTTCGGCCCGGTGATTGACCCATTTTGGCCATCGAGTCTAGTTCAATTAGTTGAACTGGTTCACTCAACTGGTTCAACCGGTTAATTAAGAAAAACTCTTTTTTTATGTTTTTATTAAATTTTATTCTTGTATATTACTTTTACTCTATTTTTAAGAAATAATTATCATAAAATCAACTTAAAAATTATCATTTAAGCAATTTAAAATAATAAATTTAATTAAATACATACAACTTGATTATTTTGACCTTTGATATGCTTTTTTTTTTTTTTTTT